GAAACAGCTCGCGCCGTCGTATGGCCGCCGCGTGCGTGTGAGGACGAAAAATCCCGTATTCGCGACGGTACACAGGATTAATAGGCGTAGATCGTCGCGTGTGATTACGTCAATACCTTAAAACCGGAGCAAAAGGTATCGCTCTATGGCTCGGCTGGGTAGGCACAGTAAAATGAGTCTCGCGGCTCGCAACGCCGTTTTTTTCCTCTTTTTCTACGTCTCCTTCTTCTTCTTCTACTTTCCGGCATCGGTTGTCGTGTATCGATTCTTCCCCGTGAAAGTTACGAAATATAAAACTCTGCACTGTTTGTTGCGAGCTTCGATGATATCTCGACGTGCATCTCCCCGATATCCTCGCCCTCCTGTCTCAACAGTCGCGCGACATAATTCACCGGCGAAAATACCCGCAGACGAGGTTTCGTCCTTCCTGAGAGAAGCAGGCGCGAGATCGAGTCCGTCCCTCGCAGGGAATGTCGCGCTGTAACGAGATTACAACGTTGAAGGGTTACCCACCAGGCGGACGACGGCCTAATGTTCCCCACTTAGGACGCGACGAATCTGATTATGATAATGAGACACCGCGTCTCGAGTTTCGCGAATTACACGGGGATCGTTGTTGCGGGGTGACGACGTCTCTGAAATAGACGTAAAACGCGGCGTCGACCCTTCCACCCTTCCACGTTCGCGACGATGTTCTCTGTCAACAGCTCTGTGCCGATCGCAAAGTTGCGCTTGGCAAATTCGTGTTAGTCACTTTTCGCCGGTATTAACAAGAAATATAAACGGTGAGCTCTGATTTCAGCAGGCTCAGGTGTCAGTTCCGCGGCGGTAAATGCCTGATGATGTATTGAAACCCTCCAAAAGAATCAGATTGCGGAACGTCGTTACCTTCCGCCACGTCGTAAATTCAACGTCGCGCGAACATTGCTGCGCGATATTGCGCACGCTCGTGCACTTCCCACATGCAGCGTGTGCGGCCGGCGGGATTAACGGTTACGGCCGTCACGCTTCGGGATTTTTACGAAACGTCGGATCGCGCGAATCCAGTTTACGCGAGCCGATCAGGTAACGAGCGCGGACAAGTGCGTAACGCCTCTCACGCGGCGCCACGCGACGAATTCCACGACGCTTTCGTATTAAACAAAGTAACTGTGTGCGGCGCAAGTGCGGTGCAAAGTGCACGCGCTCGAAACGGAAGAACGCAGACGGAATTTCTCAGTCTCTCTGACGTGATCGCAACGGCATGTCGATTAGTAGTGCCGGGCAACATTGACTTTCGCCGAGTCTCCGAGACGTTGTTGCGGTGCAAATGATCGATAATTGCCGTGCACACACACATACACACACATACATCCACATCCATACACACACATACCCGCTCGCTGACTCGGTGCGCGAATGTGCAAGAGAGAAAAAACAGGATTTGTTAGCTAAACCTACTTCTCTCTCTCGCGAGCTCACCGTATCTCGCCCGAGTTTGTCGCGCATTCTGCAAAGTGTCTCGACCGTTCAAAAGTTCGCTACAAAGCGAATCGAATGGATAGTAGAGGCAGATAAGGAGCATCCAACTCTGAAGCGCGTTTGTTCTTTGATAATTGCGAAGAAACGCCGATGTGCTTTATGGCTAGCGAATTACTTCGCACATTCTTGCCTAAGCGATTCGGTCGTAGACAGAAGAGAGAAGAATGCGCCACTCATTTCGTGAGTGAAATTTTCTAAGTTCACAAGTCGCCCGGTTAATTATTGTCTCCGAGAAAGTCGCCGTTGATCAGAATGTAATTTCAGGTGGACCAGTTGGTACGATTTCGAGCGAACGGAAAATCGTAAAGGATTCGTGTGACGGCTCGAGTTTCTCCGTTTGTAACGCAATTCTGCTGTTACAAAATCGCGGAAAAACTATCCGGACGACAAAAACGTCAAATTACCGGCTGATTATGTCGCTTTCAGTCACGGTGATCGGGGCTCTGCACGAAAGCGCAATAATTATACATTAGCGAAGCAACAAATGTTACATTACTTAAGTGCGTATTTGTTTTCCACGATGCGGGTACTCCGCCATCGCATGAAATTCCACTTCGAATTTCACTTATCGCGCGAGCTTGATAAAAGTCGCGCGAACGAATTATCGCGAATTAATGAAGACGTCGCGCTCACAACGCATCGCGCCACGCCTTCTGTATCTTCCGCGCGGATCGCCCGTTACATTTACATATTCATTAGTTTGCGAGCGCGTTTTCTATTCTCAGCGCACGGAATTATTCGTGCTCTCAGCCCGTGTCCGCGATTTCCGCGGGCCGTGAATCAACGATGGACTATCGTTTAATAAGATTGCGATTCTATGCGGGAGAAGAGAGGAGATATGTAGGGGACGTTTGCATGCTTCTTTTTCACGCTTAATCCTCTCGCGCGTCTCATTCACACATTCCCTTTGTCCATTGCGAAGTAGATCTGAATCTTCCAAGAGTTATTTCCGCGCGCGTGATTCAGGAACTTTTCTGGAATTTTTTCACGGAAGCGTCTTTGAGATCCGAAACGTCGCTGAACAACAGGAAGAGAACAATCGGAGGGATATTCTATTCGCCTCTGTCTTCATTTTTCATATCTCCGCTTATGCCTCCGCGAAAAATCCAGGTATTTGCTCCTCACTTGAAGTTATCGACTATCCATGTCAAGTACAGATAAGAATAGAATGAGTCATGTTGATAGAGATGGGTAATTAGGATATAGACTCGCATCGACTTGCTTCCTTATCCGTGTGTCAATAATGTGCCTTTTCCCAATATAGAGTAATATTTTCATCAATCACCGTCGATGCTGCATGCGATTATTATATAAGGATAAACAGAAGCACATACTCAGAATGATTATATCTCGTCACAAAATCTGTCAGTAGGCCGATTCCCTAGCTTTATGACAACGATATCGTTAGCATGTGTGTCGTTGCGCAGCTTTCCTACCATGTATTGTATTTACGCAACAACAGCGGTAATGACACTGGTGTTAGGAGTTACAAAATCAGCCTACTGGCCGAGATACAGATATACGAAGTGAAGTACACGACTGTTGGTTTTTCAGGTCTACTTTCCGTATAGCCACTTATTTTCGTTTTCACATGAGTGTGCGCAGAATACCTTAGGACAGTTAAGATTTAGGCCGCAATTAAGATGTAAGAATAGAAAAGAATAGAGGAATTTTATTAATAAGATATAACGAAGTTTATAAATCATGGGTTAGAAATGTTAAAAAGTTATAAAAGAAGTTTGTTGGACGTTATGTAAAAAAGAAAAATTTGGTTAATATATGCGACGAACTTTGAAGCAGTAAGACGTATGAAAATGATGTTCGCGGCAAGAACGTTTGCTCTGAATGATGGCTCTCGTGATTGCAGTTCAGCGGCACATAATTAGCAAGTAAAACACTGTCCGGATATTGATTGAGCAAACGCAGAATAAATCGATCAGTCTCGAGCAAATAGCTCGCAGACATGAAACAGGATACTAAGTAAGCATATCCTTTGAAAAAATGGAGAAGCGAGTGGAGATGTTTGCCCTATGCAGGGAAGTCGCGTGAATAGTGCCCCTTCATAAAAGAAAGCAGTGAATGAGGCAATTGTATCACAATGCACGTGTGACTTGAAATTTACATGCGCAACAAAAAACCTCTCGCTCCGCGAGAGCTTACGAGGAAAGCTTGCAAATTGCAATCATGCTAATTTGCAAATATTTGCGCGCGGTACACGCGAAACGATCGGACGGGCGTTCATACGCAACAGTGATGCCGCAGTGTAAACAGCACGAGGACGATTGTAAGTATCCTAGCGGACATTTTACAAACAGTTAACACAGAAAACGTGATGAATATACTATACTTTTTGTTTCAAATAGACCGTGTTTATTCCGAGACTGTGTTCGATTTATTCGAAGAAAGAAATGACACAAACACGACTGCGGGACGACTGTGTCCTAGCAAAATATGTTTTACAAATAATTAACAGCACGCGATGAATATAATTGCGTGTATCTTTTTTTTTATTTTAAGGCTATATCCAGTTGTGATTTATTCACGTGGATGAAATTCAATCGAAATCTAATGTCAACTCGAGTGCTCATCCATTTCCCCAGCTTTCTCGCTCGACAGTCTCCGCGAATCCAATTTCGAGTGCAATTAAATCAAGCGCGCTTGAAAAGTCGTTATTCTATATTTCATGTGCGCAATTTGTTGACGCGCATGCGCGCGCAATGTCGGCCGGGGAAACGTATCGGGAACATTCATAGGGCGATGTAAGCACCACGCGCGTTCCTTCGCGCCGCGATAGTAGAAAGCGGCTCGGCGCCAATATCTATGTCCTGCGCGTTTCTTACGCGCCGGGCCTAAGTTCTCGTTTGCCCCGCTAAAAATCCGTCACATCGCTACATTTAATTACATGCGCTCGCTAAATCGTCGCCGGCAGCGCGCGACGCCCTGATTTCTGATCCTCGTTCGCTGTAATGCCCGCCATAAATTTCAATCGGTGCGGGGCGGGTTTCTAATTTCGGAGCATCGGGAAATCAATGAAATCAATCAACTTGACGTGCGCGCGAGCGTGCAAATAGCGTCGGCGCGAGCGGCACGAGATTTATCGTCTTCTAATGCGGGACACCACGCGACGGACACTTCTTGCGCCCGCCGCTTAATGGCAAATCACGAGAGCGTTTAAACATAAATTACACCGGAGACAAGAAAATCAAGAGATCGCGGTGAATTAATCTTCCCCGGGGAAAAGGACGGCAATTCGCGCGGTTTAACGACTTAAACGCGTTCGGAAATTATCTTGCGTATAATGTAGCCGTTCAATATTCAAATACATTTTATGCTCACTCATCCGTGTCTTTGTGGGTGCGTGTGTGTGTGTGCGCGCGCGAGACTTAATCTCACATAAAAATTTTCTTAAAAAATTATATTAAAATGCATTCCGTATAATGTTTATAAAAATTAAAAATTACGTTTCTTTTTTCTTACAGAGATCGTTAACGAAGGACACCGAGCCGCTGCGTGCCGTGGACCGGTCCGCCTAGAATCCTTGCGTACATTTCACAACAGCGATCGGGGTGGCCGAGGAGCGTAAAAACTGTTGCAAATTGATCCCGCGGTTGTCAGACTGTCAGTCAACATGAGGTGAGTTATGTTGCAACCGAAGTGGTCACCTTAAGCTGGATACACACTTGAATGTTTATTCCGTTTCTTATTATCGCGTCTTTAATCGTTATCCAAAAGGAGGAAAGAGAGGGAGAGAGGGAGAGAGAACGGGGGGAGAAAAGTATCCGGCACTTTCGCGCATGATAGCGCCGAGCCAAAACGTTTATGTTTATCGTAAACGTCGGCGGAGCTCGAGTAATTCCCCGTCTATATACCAAAAAATACGATGCCGCTCATCCGATTAGACTAATCCCGATTTTAGTGTAAACGCGCGCAATGTCTTGCGCTTAACGTAGAAGCTAATGTTACGGCAGCCAGACGATGCGTGTTAGCAGCGAAACTCGCTCGGGCATTCTTCCATAACGCCTGTGATAACACGCCCCGTGCATCCGTGAGATGATTACGCGTGTACAGTGTTTATGCACTTTGTTAACGCTTGTCCGGATTCACTTGCATGTAATAAGATTATTTTAATAGAAAATTACTGGGGCGATTCGCTCTTTTAATCGTCAGTTTTCTTGCTATCTTCCTTGCTATCTCCCATATTAAGATTACCGGTGATTCTCTCCATAATTATCTTCGGCGCGAAATCCAAGTCCATCTCGTTACTTCCCGTGAAAGTACTGGCCTCTGTCCTCAAAACTTTACGAATTCCAGGACACAATGGGGCTGTATGTAGCACCAAGAATAATCAATGAAGATTTCTCGAATTATTTAAAATCTTGTTACTTCTTTTCTTCAGGATTACTCGAAATGAGATACAATTTCGATCTCTTCTCAAATTTAACAGAACAAGTTCTTGTGAATACCGAGAACAAGATAGAGTTAACTCGTGGTCAATCGATTCGAGCGTCGGAACGAGTGTGAAAGTGCCTTTAACGTCGTATTTCTCGCGTCGAGGTCCGTTTTCTTTCGTGGTATCGTTTGGCCTATCCGACGAGTGTAAGTTATACGATCCTCATTCGGAGCAGTAACGTTTGAAATAAAAGCGCGCATGACGCGTTGGGTAACTACGGTGTCGTAAAGAGCGGAGAGATCGTTTTTTCCTGCTGGCGTAATTACAGTTAAACAACGAGCAGCGCATAATTTTGTCATCGTGATCGTTGCATATCACTAAGCGCAAAGTTGCGGGTTTCAATCTGCATCGTTAAACGCCAAGCATGTACCGTCTCGTTTCGAACGTGCAGGAAATTGAAGCCATAAATCGCACGATTGACAGCGAAACCGCTAACGGTCCTCTTCGAGTCTTTCTCTTTCTCTCTTTCTTTCTCTATCTCTATCTCTATCTCTCTCCTTTCTCGCAATGTTTCGCTGAATTTGCTAATTTCCGCTTCCGTCGGCCGAGACACAAGTTGCGAACGCGAAATGCAATTTAGATAGCGGCACTCCACTCTTAATATCGCGATCTCTTTTCGCAAAAGCTAAACGGATTAAAAACATACATTGAGTGGGATCTTGAAGAAAGTTGGATATATCGCTCAAGCGAATCGCTGGTTCCTACTAAAAATACGATCGTGAAAAATGTGGATGTCAAGATGCAGCGTGCGCTACGTGCCTTAACATCGATCCCGCCAGGTTAATTTTCCTGAATTACTCCAAGACTTGAATAATTAAAATTTCGATATATTACTCAATTGAAAATTCATACGTCAGTTGAGTAACACTGCATTTGCGAACAGTATCCGCCGATTGATCCCCTATCGGAAACCCGATCGTTTGCACGAAAGTTTTTCAGCCCTCTCTTCTCTCGTTATAATCGGTGTGTAAGACATTAGCTTGATCGCCGTGAAACATCAATCATCTACTCATAATAATTTTTGACTGTTAATCGAAAGCGCCTTCTTACGCTGCGCGACCGTCGTTGTGGCGCAAGAAGTGAACAAGCGGCATCGCCTGTGTCATTTACTTCCTTCATTAATTAGCACCACGGCCATTCATTAGCTCGCGGCTCTTGCGCCGCACAATGTTGCGCTCGTCGAGTAAAAGTGGCGCAGTGCAGGGAGCAGCAGAGGGATCGAAAAGACGTCGTGCACCTAGCCGGCCTTATCTCGGTTACTAGCGTTAAACGGCTTTTTGCTAAAATGTATAACGAGGTGGACGCGATCTCGCGGGATCCTGTAAAACGTAGTTTGCGTCACGCTTGGCGCAGGCATATACACCTATCCGGCCGATCCGCGTACTTACGGGAGACTGCTGAATTGCACGTCGCGTGAAAAACGCGTTAACGACACCACCGTCGCGGACAGGCGACTTCCTGTCTGCATTCTCCTCAGGAGTGAATCAGGACAGTGGTGCAAGAGCGTGGAAAATGCAGCTTTGAAGGTGCAACGTGCACTACGTGTCTCAACGTGTTCAGCTGCACGATGACCGCCACGTTAATTTCCCTCAATTGTTCCAAAGTTTTACCGAGGCTCAACGACCTCAACGACCGAAATTACGATAAATATGTACGTTTTTTTCGACTAACAGGAGGAAATTAATCGATTTCTTTCAATGTTTGCAGCACGCGCACCAAAGATATAATTTACACACTCTTTGCTCATTTACTTTTCATTTTCTTACCGTTAAATGTCGTTCGTATACAATAATAATGAAGAAATTGATGAGGTTCGATCGCAGGAGTTCTCCTTTCCTACATTTTTCCTAATTTTATCAGTCGCTGTTGACTGCATGCTTCATTCGCTAAGTGTAATCAGTTGCTACGTTCTATCTGTAAATTAATGAGACGCAACCATAGCGCCGATCACGGACAACCATCACGGTGATTACCGTGTAAATTCATTTCCGTTTAAGACACGAGAACTACGATGTACTGATTTTTACGCCGCACACGCTCTCTAGGACACTTTTGCGAATTAGCATATACAGATCGCGGTTCAGCTCTCTCCAGAGCTGCACCAGCTGCGTGAATCTCGGACGGGAGAGAGGGGGGAGGAAGTCGACGAGAAAGCGCTGGGTGGTGTGCGGAATAATAATAAATTCCGGCCGGGGAAGGTGACGAATCGGTAGTGGGACGTAATTATGCGACGCGAGACGAGAACAGCCTCCGACGGGCGCGAAGTCATTTCTCTCGGATCTTCTCGCCCGCGAGGGAGGCAGAGGCGGCCATCCATCATTGTAGCGCCGTTTTCCGAGTGGCGCCCGATGGGACTTTCGCGCAGCGCAAACAGAAACTCGTCGTCCGGGATCGAGATTCCCGTCGAGATCTATTCGGGGAGGACGTATCGGAGTGCTCTTAAGTGGCTCTTGACCTCGCGCCTCCGACGTTACACATGGACACGCTTCTCTGAGGCTGCCGCGGCGTCTCTGAGCCTTCATTAAGCCTCACCCTTTCGGTGCTCCGAAAGTCTACGAGAAGCAGACGCGTTCCTCACTGACGGCTCGGAAAGTGAATTGCAAGCGGAGTGCAACGTGTCGAAGCAATTTTGTTGATTCGCGCAGCGTGTGGCAAATCGTTTCTCGACGCTGCGATCGTCCAAGGGGTGCCTCCACGGGGAGGACTTCTCGCGTGCGAGGTCAAGGAATTGGCAGGAATTAACGGACGTCGAAATGGGACGAAATGGCACTTAGTTACGGTAATCATTTTTATTTGGAGAGATCAAGCACACCGATTTTCCTCCGGGTTCGATTGGACGCCGCATCATCGTCGATCGTCCTCGATTTGAAAAGTAAGTCATGTGAAACAACCTCGAGATGCAGGTATCCAGGCGCAGGAATCGCGTTTAAATAACGCGTTTCTCTCGCAAGGGTTACCTTGTAATAGCCGAGTATTACAAGCTGGCAATTAATACATGACTCATTACCTAATACGCTATATTACGTTGTCCACTTAGCAAGGATGTATAAGTTAGCGACACGATAACCACGACCTGTGGTTATAATGTATACTGGAATCATACGTCGTCTCGCGGTATAATCGCGCCGCTAATTGCGCGCTAATTGCCCTGCGAGGGCTCCCGAACGCGATTATCGAAACCGATCATCTCGTCTCGCGGCGCTTTATCCGTTGCTTTAGTCCCGCAATCTTGCGCAGCATTTATCGTTAGTGCTGAACCGTATCTCTTTCGATTGGTTAGTCGGTCTCTCATTAGCACTCGTAGCTTTATTTTTCGGGGGTCGCATCGCGCAAATCAGAGAAGGACCGAGTAAATCGTTCAAACTCGGCGAACGCGATGTTCTACGTTTCTATATGCACAATGCGAGGTTGTCGCAGATGTCATTCTGTGTTGTAGGCTCGGGACTGATAATCGAGATTGGATTGATAATGTCTCGTTGTCGGTTGGTGATCGAGCTTGGCTGTTAATTGATGCTCCGAACACTAAGAGCCAACGTTGTTTGTACACACACACACACACGCCGTATTTTCGATACACGAATTCACACTCGCAATCGGCACCATCGTAATCTGCCAGATAATATCGAACTAATAGCTACACCTGTTGTCGTACAGTAACGCCTCGACACGCTCTTTAAATTTTTTGGAGTGCAATTACTTTTCGGAAAATGCAGTGGCAGCCAACCGAATTTAAGTGATTTTTGCTCTCACACAGAGTGCTTTCTGTGAAAACGAATATACAAAATTGAAAAGTTAATCTGATATATCCACCATCATAAGAACAGATTCACTCTAAGTGATGGAAATTTTCACTTGTACGAAATCCAAATCCACCCTAAGTGAAACATTATGACTTCCATGCAGTATTTGCATTAAAACTTCGAATAACTCCATTCGTTTTTGACAATATTTGGCGATAATCGATGAAAATTTTCTTTGATCGAAATAATCGGTAAATCAATAATTAACATTAATCAACCGTCATGTTTGTAATGACGGAAAATGTAATCGACTGATAAAATCGATTATTAATTAACGAATTATCAATTACATTAGAGTTTGATTAATAACTGATTGCATCAATCGGTGAAATTATTTGTGATTTTATACATGATACGTTGTCCATTTAGCAAAGATGTATAAG